GTAGGATTTTATTTGGGCATTAGTTGAAGATTTATAGTTAATATAATGACTAACATTTGTTATTTTTTTCTTCAAATGATAGATACTATTCTTAAAAATGTACAAACGGCATGGCCAACTAGCCAAACGAACTTCTACAAAGAAGAAAGGGAGGAGCACACGGTAGCGCCCCACTTTGATTTAAGAAAATAATCTATGGCTTATTCAAAAATCAAGTTAAAATTTTCAAAATTTGTTTCCAATTTCAATATTTATGACGCTATTCAAACATTAACCACATATACTAATACATATCATCATGTCGGTAATCATTAAGTAAATGATCAATATGGCAAACATAAGTTCCAACTGACCTATCCACAGGTCTCAGTTCATAACCACGCAAAGGGTTTTCAAAACAGTTTATCAATCTGACGTCACATCACGTCTAATCAAAGTATCTCAAAATAGTTCAATAATCAATAGATCATAAATCAGGAGGAAGCAAATAAAAGGTGGCATTGTCATCACATAATTGACCATCACTCGTCTTCACATGTCGTACCTACCATCTGCTCAACCTGAAATTGGGGGGACAGGTGTGGTCGCAACATGAACATGAATCAATCAAATATCCCATGTTCTAATCATAATAATACTCATGTGCACATCTCTATAAAGCTACTAAGTGTCTTTGCATCGATTGTCTCCGTACAAGCCTTACATCGGCGCCCACTCAGTAGGAGTATCTGTCGACGGCCAAGACCCAGCCTTGGTGTTACAACGACATACATATCGAAGGCCTTCGACACCTGCCCCAGTCTTACATACGATACGGCCTCCGTTCAAAACTTAGGGAGACTACCCAAAAAAGGCATGTACCACGTTGACAGGGATAACCGTTCAACGGCCAATACAACTCACATTGAAAGTTACGAACATGCATACATAGATAGTACATCCAAACAATACCAACAATTCACGAACAGATATTTAAATAAACTCACCTGAAAATCGAGGTTGAATATCTGACACAAAAGCAGGTACGTAGGTGGAGGACTCGACTCCTCAAACACTTACATTTAAAAGAGATAATACATCAATAATCTATCTCACTACTCAAATTTAATATATAACCCACACTTAATCAACATTAAGGCTTAAGGGTTCTAATCGAATTTTTCGTGGACTTGGAACTCTCACATTATGAAATATAGGACTCGGAAAACCAAAATTGGGGTCTCGGGACTTTAAAATAATTTTCCTGAATTTTCTCTCATATGGAAATAATTTTTAATATGAATTTGGTACGAAAAAACGAGCTTCCGGAACTTAAAATTGGGTTAAAGAGCTATCTGGGCCACCGACCCAGATTGCTAGCCAAGGGCTGCCCTTATTCGCGCAAATGGGCAAAACAAAACAACAAAATGGGCCGCACAAAGAGGCCTGGTACTCGCTGGAACACGCGGGTCGCTGGTGGGCTTTCACGGGCCGAATAATTAGTCTGGTAACGGACAGAATGAGGGCTGGAAGCGAGCCAAGAAGAAAGGACGCAGGCTGGGAAAATCAAGGATGTGGTACTGAGCCTCTGTAGTACGAATTATGGGCCTGCGTACCTGTAACACCCGATTTTGAATTTTAAAGAAATTCCGAACTCATTTTCAAAATTATGGGCATTACTTATTTACATAGTCCAAGTCATGTCTGGACTTACGGGGATTCATTACCCGGTTTTTCACATGGTTTTCATTAACCGATAAACAACATTTCATATGATTATTCAAGTAACACATTCAACGAGAATATCCAAATTCAACATTTCATAAATTTGAACATAGTTTCAACCTGTCTAACTCCAAATGGAGGTTCATAAGGACCACATAATTGTTTTATCAAAGCGGAAGCATAAAACATAAATATATGACCGACCCACTCGTCTTTTCCTCGTCACGCTCGACACCTGCTAACCTGCATCCGGTGAAGAAGCAGGTGGGGGTGAGCATAATTAGAACTTGTGGTGCTCACCACTATGTACGTAAATAACAACATAATATAACACGGGGTATGATCACGACATGATCATAAATCAATTAAACATGTCACATCTCCAATCAATACACCAATTAACTCACTCATGAGCACATCTATCATTAGCCATTGAAGGACATACAGCTCTCAACAATGGGAGTGCATCCGAAGGACATACAACTCTCAACGGCATGGCCTTATATAGGGACTTACGTACCTCACAAGGGTATGGCCATATCAGGACTTAGTGAGATTGCCTCACAAGGGCACCGTCGAAGGACATACAACTTACATCGACATGGACAACCGTTCGAAGGACATCCATCTCACATCGAAGGTTACACGGATTCACATGCATGCATTGATCATACCAACCCAACAACAAATAAACCATTTACGGCATAGAAATTTTAGAATAACAAACCCACCTGGTTACCGAAGCGGTAGATAAAGCACATAAATTTTTGATAGGAAGGTGAGCTCGACTCGTCAAATACCTACATTAATATAAAGGGTCCTATAAATAACTATCCGACACATGTGTTGATGGTATAGACCGAAAGACCGGAGCCCACTCCCCTCACGAGACGAACGGACCGACTAAGAGCAAGTTAGATGGGATGTAGGACGAGCGCGAGATCAATTGGGAGATTTATCCTCATCATTACACAAATTGGCCTTACCAGGTGCATTAATTGCAAAAATATTTTGAAGTCGCCCATCTAATGGCGCGAATAAGGCCGAGACACGTGGCGCGATCCGGATGAGCCATTAATATTGGGATTAGATTGTGCAGTACATTAGCATTAAATGTGGAATGACTAATATCTTAAGATATCTTGCAAAGGAAAGTAAAAAATAAAAATCCCAAAAAAGGAATGTAATAAGTCCTCAAATCTTCTATAAAAGGAACAAGAGGCAACATTAAATGCAATGAGTAAATTCTCTCGTTAATTACTATGTAAGTCACGAACAGGATACCCATCCAGTCCATTCTCGGAACCGAATACCATATAAAATACTGTCCGTGCAGACCGAACCTAGTACACATTCTAGTGTATAGTTCGAACACATTGTTGGTCAATTTTTGGACATAAACAATTGACGCTAGAAGGTGTTGGGATTTATGAGGATCTCGTTATGCACAAATCACGAATTCAATAGCAAAACGTAAACCTATGTGCAGCGGATCTAAAGTTTTGCGTAGAAAACTTACGGCTTAAAATTTATGACGATCTGGCTGATCTTCTGGATGGCCGTACATAGCACACCAATGAGAAGTAGACTGCAAATCGCGTCCTAGGGTTGCACGAACAAGATCAGATCGAAAACTGGATCAAACGGGTGCAAAAATGGAAGAAGACGAGTTGCAAACCTGGGACACTCTGGCGGTGCGTGAGGGCGCGTGCGGCGTCATACGGCGGAGATATTAGCGGCATTGGAAAGCCCTCGTCGAGACGGTCGTCTGAGTATGCTGCAAGTCTTGATAGGACCTCCGGTTAGTTCTATACGACAAAATATATTTCGTCTCGGTTTACCTACAGATCTTCTACTATATGTCTCAAACACCTCTTCATCTTGTATCGGTGGAACAGCAAGAAGAAGATAAAGCTCGAATGAGAATTGAGAGAAAAATATGGGGCGGCGTGAATTACAATGTAATTGTGATTCATGTGTTCTCTTCCCATGAGCTTAATGATGTATATATAGAGCTACAGTAGGGACCCTTAGGAGATTAAGAGAAGGGCTCTTAATTAATTAAAATACTTGTGGACCAAGTCACTTATTTTAATTAATTAAATAATATTAAATGGGCCACCAACATAACATTATTGCACTCCCTTTTTCTAGCCCAATTTACAATTGAGACTTCAATAGTAATTACTCGATTTATCTCCGCATGTTTAAGATATAATGTTAATTAATTAATTCAATTACTGACAATCAAGAATTAATTAAATTATTTTTATTTCACCGAAGCTAGCGCTCGTTCATCACATTATTACTATGCCAGAATTTAATCCACCTGTAGGGTTTAGCATAATAATCGTTCATGAACTTACTCCGGGGACATAATCAAACCAACGCACATGGTGACCGTAAATATCCTAACAGCACATCCTACATCAGCAATGTTACCCAAGACAGCGGATCTATTGGCCCAGTTCACTAAGCCTCACCCATGTGAATCAAAGTAATAAGTATTGCACATATATGCCTGTTTAATATCTTACGGGTTAAGAGTACGTAGTAATTAACCGAGGCCTAGTTCGTTTACGACGATCAGTATAAACGAACTGCTCCTCTCTGGGATCGTGTTCAATACATAAATGTACTAGTGAAACTAATCAGTCAAGAAAAACTGTACAGTTGACACTGCAACCGTTCACGATGGGGTGTTCATGTCCATCTGGGTTGTGAACCAATTACTTTTGTTTCGCGAGTAACTGATAGCATGATCTTCGGTTCTCGCGATGACGACCCACACTATCTAATGCAAAACAACAGAGCGTAGAACTTGTTTAATCTAACATGTTTCTCATTCATAAAGGGTAAAAGTGTAATAACATCCAAAGCTAAGCTTTCAGTATATAACACTAAAAATCTCCCACTTATACTTAAAGCTTTCGTTTTTACAAGTATAGTCCTATCAATCTGTTATTCTAAAAGACCTATGTCGATCATATCGCCATGCACTTGACTCCCATTCCTGTCACGTGTTTGACGAAGACCTTTTCCGGCAAACTCTTCGTGAAAGGATCAGCTAGGTTGTCCTCAGATGCAATCTTGGCAACATCAACGTCTCCTCTACCAACTATCTCTCGGATCAGATGGTACTTACGCTCTATGTGTTTACTTGCTCTGTGGGCTCGTGG